TCCGTCGCTGCAGGAATTCAATCGGCCGTGTATGGTGCTGCGGTTCCTGCAGGCAGTGTTTTTGCAATTGCTCAAAGCGTTGGTGCAGCTGGACTCGGTTATGCCGGTGCTGCTATCTCCGGTACGATAGGTGCAGCGGCAGGCGCTGTCATTAGTGCGCTGTGGGGATAATTACCATAGAACTGTATAGTATGTAATGTGATTTTATCTGGAATTTCGTAAAAATTGAAGTAATTCCTAGAAATGTTGTAATCGGTATATATACTAATTATTAACTGTATTTACTACAAACGATGCAAGACCTAAGAGATCAGGAAAACAATGGACGTCTAGATACCTACTAGGCCCGAACCTGACGTCACAACTGGTTTGGTGACGTAGAAGAACGAGTGCCTAAACGTATACTTATAACCGTTAAAACAGAATTAAAATATACTGTATATAGGGTTTAACGTAGACATATATTTTTTTGAGTCTGTTACATGTAAGAATACAGATAATTATATATATATATATAAAAGAATTTGAAAAATAAATGTAAATGTTCATTTTATAAACTATTTCCTATAGAAGAGATTCTATTGAAAGGCTTGTAAATAATATAAAGCATAATTTCTAATGTAATCGTGCATTTTTGTCCTAATAAAATATATTGTTTGTAATTTAAAAATAAAGTATTGAATTATTTATGATATTACAAATAGGAAGCTGTCGACAGTTATTATTTACGTAGTATATAAAGTATATTTATATTAAATATCTAAAATAAACCAGCAACGAGTTGCTCAACTTTTCTGGCAACAATTAAAATTTTGGTGGCTCCATCTGTTATAAAAAGTTTTAGTTAATTATAAAATGACAAAAAGCTTAATTTTCAGGGTAGGGATGGGTTTTAAAAAGTATTATAAATGCTAATAACGAGTAAAGTCTGATCCTACTGGCGATACACTCCACCCCTCGACCTTCAACCACCAAAATTTAATAGAGTGGCTATCTTTTGCCTCAGAGTAGACCCATTTAGCTTTAGTTTGGTAAATATAATATTAGTTTTATAGGAATAGAAACCACGACGGGCTCTGGGAGAAATCTGCAGCCACCTCTCGAAGGCTATGCCTTTAACACCTAATTGTATACTACAAATTATAATAGATTTTAATCGAGCTGCTCCCAACGGAGTCGATAGAAATTTGAAAGGGACAATACTATATATTACGATATAATTACACACAATACAAGTTACAAAAATTCAATTATACATAGCTTAATAATTTATTTTCTACTAGCAGATGAACCCGGTGTTGCCGGGCAAAAAATAACTACATCATAAATTAAGATTAGACGATCAGAAAAAATAGATTATTTCGTATTTTTCTAATAGATTATCTAATAGATTATTTCCTATTTCCAACCCTTCTATTATATTAAATTACAGTAATTGATTTATATAACTACAAAAGTTAACTTAGGTAAGTGTTTATCACACCGAGTGACCAATATTCTTTAAATTGTGTACAGTAGAGGAATAAAGAATTTTTATAATGTGTATATTGGTCATTCGGTGTGATAAACCCTTACCTAAGATAACCTCTGTAGTTATATAAATCAAACACTACAATATAACGAACATTAAAACGAATTCATATAAACAATTTGGTTATTTAATATTTAAAAAGTGATCCTTGTTAGAGAGGTTGTTATACCCCGCTGGTGATCGAAATTGCTAACGTTAACGTTCGAAAGACTTCATATGACTTGTTTAAATAAAATAAAAATATTGTAAAAATGCTATAATAATTGCTTTTATATGATAATAGTGTTTATATTTTTGCAACAGATGGAAAAATTTACATGGGAAGTATGTTTTCGTAAATATCGCATTTATAGAAAAATAGCAGATGAGCTCGGCGTTACTCGGGCAAAAAGTAACGATAGTGAAGATTAAGATAATTACATTATAGCTAATCTTATCCGTTTTCACAGAATGCAAGAATTATGTCTCCCGTTTCCAGACTAATTAGAGAATTTTTACATGGGTCTAACAATATGTTCGATTTCCTGCAAAGACGAAAAAAACCGCATCTGCTCCTGTAACTCTTGCACGCTGCTTCCTCTTAATACTTCCATTGTTACTCAACACTTCCATTTTTAACACTTCCATTCTTAATACTTCCATTCTTAACACTTCTATTGTTAAGAAATACACTTCTTTCATCTCCCGTGGTACCCTACTAAATGTGGTAGCCTACTAAAACGCAGTCAAAAAACGCAAAAAATCGCATCTAAAAATAGTACAATAGAAGCCGAGTTCTTCAGGGTAAGCCTTAACTTCCAGCCCTTATATCTTCAACAGCATGCCCTTCGGGTATAAATGGGAACCTTCTTCATGGGGGATAGAGGGCTACCACACTATATAACTCCGTTGATCGTACCGGGACTCGTTTTTGAGTTTTAGCGGCACGCACATTGTACACTTACCTTTATAATATTATATTAATATTGATTTTTTAATTTTGTTACAAAATTTTTTGTGCAATAAACAAATGAAGGGCATAATAAGGTTTGTTTCAGTTAGGCAAACACTAAAGAAAATTATTCTTAAAGAAGGAGGTTATAGAAATATTACAAAAATACCAACTGAAAGCATAAATCACAATGCCGGACTACAATTTTTAATCACAGTTTTAATTTATTTCATTTAAAATATTTGGGCTGCAATTTGAAAAAAATTTTACTGTATACCTATAAATTCCCAGTGGAAATTTATAGTTATACAATTTTTTTTCAAATTGCAGCCCAATTATTGTAAGATGCAAGTGTCTTTACAATGTTAAGTATTGAAGAGACTCGAACTTAAATTATGCGTTATATCATTTAGAAGCCATTCAAATGCCCACCGTCTTATTGTTAGCATTCTTCACTTCTAATCATTACCTTAAGATCATTATAAAATAAAAATTTACATTTATTTTCCAAACTTTTTAAAATATATAATCAATCATATTCTTACGTGTAACAGACTCAAAAAACTATACTTCTACGTTAAACCCTATATACACTTTATTTTAATTCTGTTTTAACGATTATAAGCATACGTTTAAGCATTCACTCTTCTACGTCACCAAACCTGTTGTGACGTCACCTGGCAGGTATCCAGGCGGCCATGGTTTTCTTGATTTCCTAGGTCTTATATGGTTTGTAGTGAATACAGTTCACGTTTAGTATATAAACCAATTACAACATTTCTGGAAATTACGTCAATGTTTATTAAATTCCAGATAAAATTACAGTACATTAACATACTACACAGCTCTATGGTAATTATCACCACAGCGCACTAACGACAGCGCCTGCCGCTGCACCTATCGTACCGTAGATAGCAGCACCGGCNCCTGCCGCTGCACCTACTGTACCGGAGATAGCAGCACCGGCATAACCGAGCCCAGCTGCACCAACGCTTTGAGCAATTGCAAAAATACTGCCTGCAGGAACCGCAGCACCATACACGGCCGATTGAATTCCTGCAGCGACGGAACCTGCAGCTACACCCGCTCCAGTAAATCCTACGGCACCAAAAACTGCAGGTGCCACAAACGGTGCGATTACCGCACCTCCAACCACGCAAGCAATACTAATGGGATCCATCGTATAATCTGTAAAACCATAAATTTTAAATATAAATATCATCTAATTACAATAAGAATTTCTTTTTTATTTAAGTATAGAAGGTGTTACGTCTTGTAAACACACGCTACCGTCATTCCGACGCCATGTTTAAAATGAAAAACAACTGTTTATAACCTGCGTTGATGCTAATATTACTGATTTCCTGCATTAAAGAGAACGTAAGTTACGTTTAAAACACTCTCTTACAATCACAGTAAAAAATTATAACGCGATTATTAATTTTATAACCAGACAAGAAGATATGTCGGCGAAAGAATGCTTACTTTTCAAACATGGCGTCGAAGTGAGGGTAGTGCGTACGGGTAAAAAATCATACTAAATATACTCTGCACTTCATGCCCGCATAAATAATAAAGCACACATATAAAAAAAGTCTTAAATAGAAGGCCAAATCTGTGCTTTACCAAATACAGTAAAATAAATTATATAACTGATGTCATATGAACAGAGATATGTCGGGTATATCGATATTATTAACCAATATTAAATACAGTACAGTACAGAGCAATTACACTAGACAACACACTTACCTAAATAACGTATGTTAATGATAGCAGAATTAGAAATATCTAATTCTATGCTATCGCAAGCTCACGTGCAAATGTCTGTCTTTTAATTAATTTACAATCTATGTATACGAACAAACCAAAACCAAAACTCCGGAAATAGATACGTCAACAATTAACAATTTGGTGGCGCCATCTGTTATTGTATTTTATTAAAATTTTTTTAATTATTATAAAATTTTAAATAGCTTAATTTTGAGAGTAGGAATTGGTTTCATAAAAATTTTAAATGGTAATAACGAGTAAAATCGTCATTATGTGCGACCCTAATGGAGATACGTACGACTCCTATTATCACCTCACCTCTTCCACCTTTATTTACCAAAATTTAATATCATCAATTCCCCTAATAAAGAAACCTACCTGAAAAATTTCAGAAATTGTTGACTAAAGATACGGGAATTATTAAGGTACAAAGAGAGCGAAAAGACTCCTAAAAATCTGGAAGTTTACTGCTCTAACACACGTATCATCTATTGTTTTAGATAAAGACTTTTCTGTTTGGAAATTCGATTGTTTATTACTTTAGTTTTGAAAATTGTTTTTCGATGAGTTAAATCTGTATGTTTTGTAGAATGTTACCGTATCACCGGAAACGTAACCGATGCAACGTTTATCAACCGGGAACTTTTCGGGGAATCGCTTGATAGAAAATATTACGTAAATCTATCACGTTACGTCTGCACAGTAATGCGCAAAGAACGAATTCTACCGCGAGAAGTAAACCGGAAACACGTCAGAGATGGGTGAGTGAGTCGTCGCGTGAGAAAATGACACCCAGAATTGTCACATAACACGAGTACGCATATACCAAAAAACAAGCTTAAACAGTGACGTCTTCGAACGGCTTACACTCGGTAAGTATACCCTACAATTTTTTGTTTATAGCATGGATCATCCCTAAAAAATTCCACGTGTTTTGGAAATGTTCGAGTCAAATTAGAATGGTTTTATGGGAGAAAACCTTTTAAGCAGCTGTACCACCAAACTGCATAAGTACCAATTTATATNTAGCATGGATCATCCCTAAAAAATTCCACGTGTTTTGGAAATGTTCGAGTCAAATTAGAATGGTTTTATGGGAGAAAACCTTTTAAGCAGCTGTACCACCAAACTGCATAAGTACCAATTTATATACTAAATTAGATGCAGTCACGGTGTGCAGAGGTAATGTTTGAAGCATGTAAAATATGCGTTTTTATAACTAGTAATTTACGACAGTGTTTCTATTAGTAGCGTCACTAGCGTCACTTCGACGCCATGTTGGAGAGAGAAGTGAGCTTTCTCCAATAGCTCTTCGTGTCTAGTTATAAAAGTATTTATAATATGTCGTATTCGATTTTCACTGTGATTGCGAGAAATTGTTTTAAACGTAGCTAACGTTCTCTTAATGCAGACAAAAGGAAATATTATCCTCGACGTACGTTGTAAATAGTTGTTTCTCGTTTCCAACATGGCGATGGAATGACGGTGAGTTGCTTGATACGGCTAAAAAAATATATATTTGAAATAGTTACATAAAAGTTGAAAATTTGCGATGGGACGAGAGGAAAGAGTTGAGCGTAACTGCTGACATATGAACGAAAAGGAAAGACAATTGGTTAAATCGATAGAGAACCCAGGCATGCAGTTACAGTAGTCAATGGAAGAGCTAGGTAACGTAGTATATTTATTCTAAGACAAATTGCAGATATTATTGTATTACAATTAACTCATTTAATTAATAAATTCTTCGAGCGTAGGAGGTTTCCTGAGAAGCTCAAACACAATCTTATAATACCAATATTTAAAAATAAAGGATCTAAACAGCTATCGTCCAATTAATATCATTTGGAAAAGGTCAATGGTTACAGTGTCGTTTAGTTTAAATAAATAAATAAATGTGAAAACTGTATTATGTACAAAGGATGTAATGTAGTGATATAAATAAAATATCTAAAATTTTAAACGTTGGTTTTTACACGGAGTTTATAATGTAAGATTTTTTTTAAAAGACCGTCCCAGATATATGAGTCCTCATCCCTGCCACTCGTTTGCTCTCATTTTGGACCTGGCTGAATCAACAATGGCCATAATTAAGAAAGCTCCCACAGGGCATAAAATGCCAAAAATAGAGATGAGGGCTGGTGATTTCAGAATGATCGCTACATAAACGGAATATAAGTTACATTCATCATCTATTAAATTAATTAACAAATAATTATTAGGAAAAGTTCACCCAGTCTTTGACACGTAAGGTTTTACGTAGTGTGTGGAAATTTATATATAATTTNGTAGGAGGCAGAGAATACAAGTGCCTTTACAAAATCGTTTATTGTAGAAAGGTTGCTCTTACAAACATAAATAAGTCCTTCGGAATAAGGGCATAGGCTTCGTTATTTCTAGTCGAGTTGGATCAGTCTGCATGGCTTGTTAATCGATGATTTTTAAAAATAAAATTCTATGGCAGTATTTACTTGTACAGTATTTACTTGTACAAGTAAACACTTGTACAAGTTTTACTTGTACAAGTGTTTACTTGTACAAGTATTTACTTGTACAAGTTTAAACTTGTACAAGTATGAATTATAAACTTGTACAATGATGAAACTTGTATAACTTGTGTAACAAAGTATAAACTTGTACAATGATGAATGAATTAATTAAAAGTTAGTTCTCTTCTAGTTTAAATCACTCGATCGTGTTGGCCCTGTGCAGAAAGTATATTATTATTTCATGGAATAAATTTCTGGTTTTAGCTGCAACCTTTTTGGAGTTTTTCTGTACTAAAACAGGGTATTTCGGGTAAAAAATAATTTTATAAGGTATATTGTTTAATTCCAATTACATTCATTTCTACGTGGTAAAGATGTAAGACGAGAATAGGTAACCAGCCATACATGTACTGTAAATCAGCTGGATAAGTAACTTTGCCATCATAAGACACACAAGTCCATACAGAATGATTACTTGCAGATAGGATTTGTGATGGCTTTATATTTGTCTTAAAGACACAAGTGTTTTGTGAAAATGTAGCAACTAATCCCTTTCTCGTGTATTTTTGTTTTGACTAAATATAAATACTTTTTTTCCAGGTGTAAAAATGGATTCCAAAACTATCGTTTATATGGTTGCAGGTGCCATAATTATCCCGAAAATCTTTTTGTGGCTTTTGGGAGTCATAGGATTTACTACGAGAGGAACAATAGGAGGATCTATATCAGATTTAATAGAATCAATACTGTATGGTGCAGCAAATCGTGCGGGAAGTTTTTTCTCTGCGCTTCAAAGTGTTACAGTAGGCAGTTACACCGGCAGAACCATTATTGTTGCCGTTGGTGCCGCAATAGGAGCAATCATTTATTATTATTATCAGTCTTAAAATTTAAATTTTGTAAAAATATACAGTATTGAAATATACAGAGTTTCATTTCAGTACTGAATATTTTGGCGCATACTTTACTACGAAATTGATGTACAGAAGACTTTGTTAACCTGAAGAATTTTGTTTACTATAAATATGTATCTTCTAATGCTGTGAATAAATGATTAAAACTGATTTGAAGTAATCATAAAGAATATTAGAGAGGTGATGATATTATTTCATGTTGTTAACGGTGGTTTGGATTATTAAAGAAGTGAGCCATTATATCCGAAATTGCAAAAAGATAATTCTGCAGAATACAAGTTCTACTCAATGTAACTTATTAATTAAACTAAGTGTTCGTTAATTTTCGTACGTAATTTTTGTCGAAAATATCTGAAATTTGTGGATAAGCTGGCTTTCAGGAGAATCGTTAATCCTTCATCAGGTTAACCTAGGTGTACTCGCATATGTGGTAGGAGGCAAAGAATACAAAATCGTTTATTGTAAAAATGGTTGCTCTTACATACATAAATAAGTCCTTTGGAATAAGGGCATAGGCTTCGTTATTTCTAGTCGAGTTGGATCAGTCTGCATGGGTTGTTAATCTTGAAGGTTGTTCCAGAAGGGTGATGGCACTTAGAGAGAGACGAGGATGACACACTTACAGAAATACGTTTAAGTTGAATCACGGTAGAAATTGAGACCAATTCGAGTTGCGAAAAAGGTCTGCCCGGGATGGCTTATCAGACACCATCCCTCGACTCTGGCTAGGATTGCCGATAGAACTAAGGCATTTGCGTTCATGTTTTCACTTGTTATGTCTTTTTATGACGTTGTAGAACGTCAATACCTTTCTTCCCCACGTCTTTTAGTTGTTCAATTTTCTCCTTTTTCGATCAAATTCATTTGTAGCTAATGTATATGAGTGATAGTGTTAAAGTTTAACTATTAGGTAACTTGGAAAATTTGTTAATTAAAAGAAAAACATATCTTCTCCGAAGCACAGGCAATTTTATACAAAATGAAAAATGCTGCCATTGTCCAAATGGGAATTAATTAATTAAATACAAGACTGCACGACAGTAAAAAACAATGGCCCTCGATGCACATTTTGAAAAGGTGGGCTTACAAAATTTCGCGCCTGATAGCTAAAGATTAAACCAACCTAGCAATGTGATTTTTAAAAGTAAGTTTGTAATAAAAAATTATACCCAAATCGTTAAATAATATAACTTAATTAATAAGAATATAACAGATGTTAAGAGTAGACAAAGGGTGATTACAGAATAAAGCAAAATTCTTAGCCACAGTTTGTTTTACGTAAATAAAAGGCAAAGGAATCAAAAAGTCTTAAAATAGTTTAGAAAAGAAATAAAACGTTCTTTATAATATTGTTATTGAATGAGCCAGTGTAGATAAAGGTCTGGTGGATTACAAGAGTTATTCCACTTTCTTTATTGTTTTCGAAGAATATTTCGTCACCTTTTTATGTGAGTAGAGAACCATTTATATAAGAAGATTTTTCATAATTTCACAAGATTGTCAATAGTAGAAATTAGAATATTATAACTGAAGTACTAGCGTGAAATGACAAACATGAAGCTTTCAAGAGAGACCAATGCATAAAATGTAAGTATCTAAATGCATTTATTTTGGTTAAATTGTGACTAAATAAGATGTTTATGGAAGCATTTGGTTTTACGGGTTTGAAAATGAATAGAAACACCATTATAAGAGGAATAAACTATCGCAAGGAGGGCAGATATATATATCAAAGTCCAACAAATATTGCATAGCTTGAAATCTTTACATAAAAACGAGCCTCCGTGTATGCAGATTCAATAGAAAACAGAAAATGCTGAAGGGTTTAAAATATGCTTATTCTTTTAGAGCAAGGAGTATAAATCGCTAAAAGGATCAAATAAAGATCTGGAAAGGATGGAAAGTATAGAGGAAAGTATATTGATGGAAAGTATAGAGCTTCCATATTCAGAGATTTTAATTACATGAAGAGATGGAAAGTACTTGAATAAAATATTGCCACCTCTAATTTTTTCTGGTAAAAAAATGATATTGAAATCTTCCTTATGATTTATAAAATTGGCAACACCATAAGTTGAGTATCTTTCCCGGCTGTTATGAGCTATTTCTTAAAAATAACTTTTACATTATTAAGCATAAAATTATATAGTGTGTGGCGCCATCTATTATCTAATTTTGTTTAAAAAATGTTTATATTTTTAATAACTATATAATGGCAAAAAGTTTAATTATGAAGTTAAGAGTGAGTTTCATAAAAATGTGTAAATGTTAGTAACGAATAGAATCTTCATTGAATCTTATCTTTCTCGAGATACATGATCCCCCCTCTATCTCTTCATTTTCTTAACCTTTAACCACCAAAATTTAGTATCATCAATGCCCTTAATATGCAATCCACTATGCCTAATTTTGTTTCTTAATCTTTACCCCATGATAAGATATCAAGCAGAGTAGACGCCAACACACACATATCTACAGAGTTTTTACTCTTTTGGATTCGGGAGGTCTCAAAACCTGGAAATTTGTAAAAAAAAAACTCGAAGGGTCGAATTTGAAGCGATTCGAATGCTTTTAAAGTCCACATTTTCATGCTCCACCTGTATATTGTTTTACTAATCGATGATTACAGTTAAACACGAAGTTGATGGATCGTCCTATGAAGTAAAACAAAACGCTGTATTGTCTTTCATTTATTTATATATTTTATCCTTTATTCTATACAAATATTAAACTTTGTCACTGTGACTTTTGAGGGGTTTGCACGGGTTGTTTTTCCTAAATAATCCTTAATTTTTTGTATTTTTGAATTAATAGAATAACACAATTAGTTAACTCAAATAAAATGTTTATTTTAGGAGCCGTCCATAAATTACTTATACCATTTTTTAGCCAAATTTGATCTTGTTGCTTTCTTTCCAGTACAACAATATACTTGTAGGCAAACCTCTTCGTGTTAATTACTAGACAATAGATCTCAGACCCCCTATTGTTAACTTTAAAGTTACATAAAATAAAATAATTAACACTACATACTGGTATGTTTCTAACAACATTGAGTTCTATGAAATTAAACCACATAAATTATAATTTTGGTAAGTTGTATGAACGTTTTTCGTTAACTATAGACTTGTGAATTAAAGTTATATGTTTATTTATTATCGTGCACAATTTAGTGCTGAAGTTGCAAATTAAAATATTACAAAGTATGCTATTAATTAACTTGCAAAATTACATTATATAAAGGAGAAAATCGTGTAACAGGTAATAAAAATGTGCAATTTTGTAAGTATGTGCAAGTATTTTTCAAGAAATGTGCAAGTATTTTTCAACATTGTCGTTACTACGTCTACTCTGCTCGTTTAGAATAGAATCTGTAAAATAATTTACATCAGACATGCTTAACATTTATTTTCTGTGGCTAATGAAGATAATCCTGAATAACATGATTCAGTTGCACTAAAAACCTGCAACAGTAAAAAATACATTATAAAATAATGATAATAATAATAAACAATTATACAATTAAATAAAAGTTTTAAAATGT